TAGCCTGTCAGAAGCATACACAGTGAGTCTTGTACGAAGGCGAACGAGGTTGATACGGAAAGCTATCCTTATTTCTGCGAAATTATTATAATGACGACGACGATCACGATGAGGATTATGGCTACTATAATTGCTAAGACCTGTTCCTAGGGCCCCATGGAAGTGCAAGGAATGGGGGTCTTTTGTTGCAAGGGAGTAGATAATAGGCAAGCTACGTGAACATGCAAAGTTGGTCTGGAGTTGATGAATTTCATTGAGGATCGCAGAGCAATAACGGCGAGTAAGATCTGCCTTAGCGGTCATAGCATTCTCCAGGTTACTAGTGCAACATCGCAAGTAGCTGTTTCCGTCTCTTACTATTTCGTCAGACCAAGGGACATCATGGATTTACGAAGTGGCCGGGTCGAAGCGGTGTTTGTTGTTAGGGGCAGCCTTTTCCGAGGCAGCGGACGCGTCGGAAGGGCGGCTTCTCTCTAGCGCCGTTCTAAGAGGGTGATTGAGCAGTTTTAATTACAGCTCATTATAGTAAGATTGTTGTCATCATGAAAGAGATTGCTTGATGGTCACCTGGCAAGCGAACTACGCAGATCCCCTCTGTGGCACTTTGAGAGCAGGGAGCCAAAGCAGGCCATGAACACTAGGTTACATAGAAGAGCAAGCGGCTTGCCAGAGAATATTACAGCGGATGTGACGGGAATATAGAGGGGTGAGGTTCCGCCATCAGGAAAACAACGAAGGCGGATTTGGGTAATCCGAAGCCATGGTGCCGGCACCAGGATCCAAAGGAGCAAAAAGAGCTTGCTCCATTAGAGTTTTACTCCCAGACCGTCAACCTAGCTCTCAAGTCCCTCGTTTCATTGGTCACACAGGACCCAAGGCATTACTTCGTGTATCCGTTCTATATACTGGTCGTCTCTACTGAAGTGATTTATATGAAAGATAGTATGGTATCTTCTATTTTATAGGAACCTGAAAAAATACATTGTTTTTCGGTACACTCTTTGTCTACGCGGTTGAACGACCTATTTGGCTAGTTAGATACGCTTAGGTGGGGTACCAGGCAGTCAGGTTGATCGATAGGTTAATGAACTCGCTGGAGAGGACCTGTCCTTGACTATTATAAAAACCAACCGAGTGAACTTTTACTGTACAGTGAGAAATGGGTTAAGGTGGAACGGGAACAGAATGTTATGCCGAAGAAAGTATTAAATAAAAGGGTTTCGAGGACCGTTAGTCGTATCGAGGAATACTTTATCTCGTAGGCCTTTGATGGAAAAGGCAGACGAATAGTGAATGAATCAGAAATCATGGGGTAAAACTGACAAACAAGAAAGCTTGGATGATGCTCGGCGCAAGGCAACGTCGATCAGAAAAATGGCGTACCTGAGGAAAAGGCACTCATTACTACTTAATATGGGCATAAAATATACTCCAAGAGCTTCACTAGTGCGACGACAGAACCCTTAACCGTGGCAAATTAAAGCACGTTGAGACTGTAACAAATTAAATCAATGTTTATGTGTCTATGCATATAGGCAGAAGTTGCTGTGCTGCTAACTGCAGTCCGATCTGATCGAATCACATGTACAAAGCATGCTCTCAGCTTAACGTAAAGAATCGTATAAAAATAATCAAACTCCTCTATTGCTGATTCATATGTTTTCAACAGGAGATAATATTATTATAAGATGCTTTTTGTTACGACTGGTCGAGGGCAGCGCAGCGGTCTCTAAACTAAGGAAGAACTCGATCTTCAGTGGAACGTCAAAGAGGTCTTTATCTACCTATCTACATCCTTCTACATATGCGGTGGTCTAGCGACTCTGCTAGCTTTTTTTTCGGGAGAAGCAGGCGCTAAAACGAAACGCTTGCGAAAGGGAGGTGCACGTTGTTGGTGTACGTATATTTGGTAGTCGACAGTGACACGTTGAAGGCCTTGTATGAGGTAACAAGCAAGTATAGTCATTGAGTGAAATGTAATTGTACTGTAGTTGTAGTTAAACCCTTGCTACGAAAAGGAATATTTAATTTAACTATCGCTCAGGGTTAAAGCTAGCATTCATGACACGATTTCAGTTGTCCAAAATATATTGCTGAAGAGGCATCAATTGCTGAGTAACTGAAGAATCATTTTTTATCCGTCTAGTCTCGATTGTTCAGATGTAACTGTAAAAACATATGTTTCTATTGACTTGACTAGCGTCGAAGGGAGTCGACGCTTATTTAGAATGTCTGAATGTTCAGATACCGATCAGTATAAGAATTTAGAAAAGTTACGGCGATTTCAAACTATTAATAAGGTATCGGACTTATGGATTATGTACACACACGAGTGTCTAATAGATAATTGTATAGGTTTTATACGCACCTCTGCAAATCAACCACTTCGCAAAAACTAAACAATAAGAGCGAAATATCTGCAAAAACGACATAGTTTAAATGAAGGGCATTGAAATAATATCCTATCAGGTCCGTCTGCGATGCAGAACGTACGCAATGTAAAACAGAATACGTCTAACCGTACGTATTGAATCAGCGTAACCAAGCGTTTCAATTAAATACGAGGCGGAATTTTATTATGTGCTAAATATGCTTTTCAACACCGTTGAAGCCAATCACACAGTACAAATTCACATACACAAATCCATCTGTAGATGCTGTTGTCTGTTCATTATGTATTCGTATAAGATATAAATTTTTCGAATTAAGTAAAAAAAAGATCGCTTTGACCTCCCATCGACCACCTTGTTCGACGGACCGTCTATTAAGTACCACTTCATCTAGCAAGGTCATCGGATTCGTTTGTCGACCTTAGATGAACTGTGAGCACTTCTGCTTCTTGATGTGTACGGCCCTTACATACAACGATATTTAACAATCCGCAAGTTCATCTATTCTCGGAAAAGGAAATATAGGCTATATATAAATTTTCCCAACGAAGCAAAATGTGCCTCTTGCATCAAAAAAGCTATACTCTAACTACTTAACAGAAGTAACGGACGTAGGACCCAAGACATTTATTTCACATTGTCAGATACCCACAACCTGGCTGGATGCAGGTTTGCAGCAGCTTCAGGTGCGCCATAGAAGCCGTCGATTCTGGGCACGTTCAACGGTACGGCAAGGTAGTTCCGTTATTGCTCACAGACTCCACGAATAGTGTTGGCCAAAGCATCGTTGATCCCGATCCGGCCGGAATCCACAACCTGTGACGGGATATGCAGCCCACCACATTGTGGCTCATATACAAAGCTCTTCCTCTTTGCATGTCAACACTCCACCGAGCGGCTCTGCAGGGACAGCCGCCATTTCTAAAGATAAAGCAATCAGATAGCGTATCGTAGTGCTCCCTGGGGTTGGGGGAAACGTACCCCCTGTGATCTCACTGCGATGCAGGGGGAAGCTAGTTCCTCGAGGCCCATACCCAAAGGAAAACTCAAAACGCCGGGAGTGTAGCGTTCCATCGTAAATGCTGACTAGAAGATTATCCAGCACTACTGCGTAAATAGCGCAGGGTTGACGGAGATAGTGGGAGCTCTTGTGGGTTCTCATACCTATAGCGAGCCATCCAATATTAGCTTGTGCGACAATTGTGGTATCCTTTTAATATAGGTGGGCCGTATTGTGTACACACGTCTAATATACAGATTATTAATTTACAATTCTATTTTTGCAATTGGAAGCAAAAGACAGGACAACTATATTCATTAGAGTAAATAAATCGTCAATATCAATTAAGCTCATGAACAACGCCGCTGCTACGACCGAGATCACGAAGAGACTTTAACAGACCTGCGTGAAAAATGTTACGAGGTAAAGAATCGGCAGGCTACTTTTAAGCAGCATTGGTCAATGTTGTATCGCGCACAAATAATTTGTTAATCTAGTCAGAAATAATAAAAGCGACGTAAATTCTTCTTGTAGAAAATATTTTTTATCATGCTGATTTTGGTCTAAGAGTGAAGACTCAAGAAAATAGCCGGTGACGACTAAAGACAAATGTCGACATTTTTTAGCTAGCAACGTCCATTAAGCAGTAGGCTTCGGTGTTGGCGTGTACGTTGAAGTTACCTTCGCAAAGGTGCTCTCCCTTCAACAGTTCCGTTAGTGATTATTGGTTTTCAACGTATCAGGTCGGGTCTCTACCGGAATTTTATTCCTATTAGTGATTTCAAGCAACACGAGTTACTGATATCAAACTTTTCAGAAGTGAGAAAATTAGTATTCACGATAGACTCAAACAAGATAAAAACAATTTTACCGCGAGTAACAGAGGTCGTTTTGAATGATTTATTTGAAAAGTATTATTGGGAAATTTGCATTAAGGTCGACGCGTTACATTCTGAGTAAATATCCTATATTCTAACCATGTCTTGCTCAAAACAAAGCACGAAATGCCTATCTACTAATATTGTAGTTTATCTAGAGAATAAGCGCCGGAACGGTAATTTGGCCTTGTGTATAGGATATACTCACACTCAGGCAATACTATTGCTTGCTCTTTCTCGACAATATGTGATGAGCGTTTTTTAGGAAAACCTGGTTGAGTGGTTCCTGTTGTTTGGTAAGTGTACTAAAAATACACCACTTTTAAGTGGGCTCTCGACTCCAGCACGGGAACTATTGGCCACCCTTGCACGTTTTCACAAGCGAATCTTTTGCTACCCATCCTTCAAGGCTTCTCTACAGTCTTAGAACACTTAGTGTCTATAAAGTCACTTCGGTAACAAGGGTAACGCTCCCGAATAAACCTTTCGTAGTTACTACTTCATTTAACTATGTACATAGGGTGAGAACCATCCGAGATGCACAGGCACTTGTCGGTTTTTGAGACACCTTACCTGTTTATAAAACGCGTTACGTATATAAGATGGAATGATGTAATTTCAAGGTCAAGCGTTGCCAGCCGGCTGAAATTAGAGTGTGTGACTGAAGCGGTAACATCGGACGTTATACTTTTTATTTCTCTTATGGTTAAATCTATAAAATAGAATACTTACCGAAATCGACAGTTTGTGTCCATGGACGCCGTTTTCGTGGCCTCTGTTATTACTATTGTTTATATGACTGGTAGCGAACTGCTGGTGTTGGAGTGTAGAGGGCACGGGATTGTGCATTTTACCGATATCAGCGCCAACTATTGTTGTCGCGCTCGCGTTGCAACTCCCGTTTCCGTCCGTGTTATTGTTACTCGTCGCCGCCATCATCACCTCACTTATAGAATCACCAGTCCCTCCAAGGCCACGAGGATCGGCCGTGTTATACGTGTCCACAATTAATGTCTCTGTTGGCTCTCTGATATAGCCCTCATCGTCACCTTCTTTACGGGTCACGCTGTTAGGACTCATTTCTGATCCGCACGCATCGGAATGGCGAACTGCCTGCGGCCTCAGAGAATCCGGCTCGACGCTTGAAGCCGTGAGCGTCACTGGAGCACAAATAGTCAAACTCGGCACTGTCGTCACATTAGGCGTAGATGTTTTAGTAACGTTCATGTTATTACTACTTGAAGCATTACTGTTAGTGGCATTATTAGTCGTAGCAATACCAATTGTTGCTGATGCCGCACCTTCCTCTCGTCCTGCCGCTAACGTGTTGTTAGTTTGGTAGCAGTTGCTATGTTGATTCCTAATGTTGTTATTCTTGTTGTTTTGTTTCATCACTGTCGTATCACTGACACCAGCTGCTCCATTTACCACTGCACTTCCTATACCGGCCACACCACAAGAACTGCTAACACCTGCACCGTCTACACCAACACCTGCATCTGAACCTGCACAGAAGAGCAGCGTATCACCGTTGCCATCTACACTAGCGGCGCTTATCCCCGCGGCACTTGCGCAATCCAAATTTATTGTTCCGGATGTTGCTGCTGATCCGACACTCGTTGCGTGTCCACCCGTGTTGGGATTTTCAACCACGTTTGTCAAAGCACCACCCGCAATCCTCACTCGGCCTGTTGTCACACTACCATTATTATTACCACCCCCGACCCCAGCAACCCCACCGGTACCCCCGCAGTAAACCACCGGACCCCCTCCATTTCCAGCACGTACTGCCACTGAAATTTTCATGGAGTCGACTGGATCCTGCTGCTGCTGCTGCTGCTGCTGCTGCTGCTGTTGCTGCTGCTGCTGCTGCTGCTGCTGCTGCTGCTGCAGCAGTCCCATTGCTGATGTCATTGTTGCTTGCGGGTTCGTGATGATTCCACCGGTACCTTGTGTTTGCTGTTGTTTTGCTAATAATCGAGCTTTCTCCAACTGTTCCTGATGCTGCAAAGCCAGTTTATTAATATTACTGCTCGCATGGGCCTGGGCTAACTGGGTTAGCTCGCGGGGCTCCCGCCTCAAAAGAAGCTGCTCTCGATGATGGCTGTGCTCGGCCTCAACGGCCGAAGCTCCCATAGTATCGACGTCGGGCGAAATCGGTGGACTTGATCCGTCCGATTCAGGGGACCCCTCTTCAGCTTCCGTGTTCACGATTACGATCGGGGGTGGTGAGAATTTCTTATCGCCACCGCGTCTTCGGAGCGAGTTGTTTTCACACGCTGATTCGACACTGTGCTGTGTACCGAGTGGCTGTTGGGCGGCAATCGCCGCTTTGTTTCTGGCTGCCAGTGTCTTTTTGCGCTCCATTGCTCGACGGGCGCGTTTTCGTGCCGCTAGAAATATCTTAATGTAGACAAATACCATAACGACAGCTGGTATATAGAAGCTGCCCAAAGCCGAATAAAGGACATAGCCAAGATCCTCTGAAACGGAACACTGGGGCAATGAGTTCTTTTGATCGGACATTTTCCGCCAGCCGATCAACGGTGGCAATGATATCAATGCTGAAAGGAGCCATACTCCACAGATCATCACGACGGCTCGGGACGCCGTGCGTTTTCGAAGATACTCTACAGCATGCGTGACACTCCAGTAGCGGTCTAGCGATATCAAGCACAAGTTGTTGATTGATGCTGTACAAATCAAGACGTCGAGAGCCGCGTGGATGTCGCACCAAATCTCACCAAATATCCAATAACCCATTAGTTCACGAGCAAGAGAAAACGGCATGATGACCAAACCGATAAGAAAATCGCTGACCGCCAACGAGGCGATGAACCAGTTCTGGGTCGTTTTTAACGACTTTTCAGTCGCGATGGCGATACAGACAAGCATATTGCCGACAACGATGACGATCATAATTAGCGTAACGAGTACAGCCGTAATAATGAACCCGATCTCTGGAATTTTAGCCAGTGGGCCGCCCGGCAGCGTGTAATTGCCATCGGCTGTTTCGAGGACGCCGGCTTCCTCGTAGCTTCGAGGCACCTCTTCTTCGCCCCATTCAAGTAACGTGTGGTTGGGCGCCGACGCAAAACTACCGGTCACCACAGTGATCATTGTGCTAATAACACTGGGATGCTCCGAGGCCACGTCGGCAGTCGTCACGGCTTACGGCGTCGTTGTGGCTGCCAAACTGCTCCACCTCAAGCGATTCAAGCTGACCGAGTTTCGGGAAAAAGGAACAATTACTCACGCCTGTCAACAACAGAAACAGAACACTGAACCTGACGAAGTCTTCCTCCTTGGTGTCTTCGTCGTTGAAAAGCTGCGGCGAATTTTTGAGAAGACTGTGAAGCAGTTGGGACTGTGTAGTGACCTGGTCTAGCTCGCTGGTTTCGCTTTGGTTCGCCTTTGACAAGGAGCGATCTTCACTAGCCTTTTGTGTGACTAGGCGCTGTTGTGTTATTTGCCCTATAATAGGGAAAATTTGCTTGTAAATCTCGTTGTACTAACTTCACTTCTGGACTGTGACCTTCTGATTCTACAGACGACAAGGATTCTCTGTACATACGTTTTGAACTATAGGAACCGCTATTAATCGGAGCTGTTCTCTGTTTGTGTTGTAGTCCGCCTACGTGCGTAATGTAACGTAACCTTATTAGTCTATAGTATAGAATGAAGAGGCCCGCACACTTGTTAACTATTTACTCCTCCCTGTTCTCACCTCTTGCATATACATATGTATCTTGTTATGTATACGCATGTGATTCAGATAGCTGATAATGCAGGAGCCCTCTTTACTACGCCCTGTAGATGTAGTCGTTTGGTGTAGTTCCCACTCAAGTCCACGTGATGATGCAGTCGTAACGCGTTCACCTGCTGCTCGACCCAGACGAGATGAGGGGTTCTAGTTTCAGAATCGGACATATAGAGACACACAATTCATTTCGTGTTGGAAGCGGTCATTAGCCATTCGAAGCAGTTATGCTGAGTGGGGGCGGTAGAACCTCATTTACGAAATATTTAAGTAAGTTGTTATTATTATTATTATTATTGCGTACTTGTTCTTCTTCCAGCTCTTTTTTTCTCTTCAAACACCGATGGGTCACATTGTTCGGTAGCAACATCAGTAGAGAAATCTTGCCTAGTTTAACTTCAGGGAGACAATCGATGACAGTATTAGCTTGGCAGCTGTCGTCCACGCGTCCGAACCCCTTCTATTGCTGCACACTATAAGCTTTGGTACAAAAAAAACACAACGATTGATATAACGAGCGAAACCGCTTGAATTCGAACAAGTAAACAGAACAGCTTGTTGACCATGCAACGGCTAAATCGCTCAACGTTTCCTTATTAATGGCGGTGACCGCTTGAAGTGAAGTTGCCCGTCAAGCCCTTACATCCGACGCTCTCACCGTGTTCCTCACCGCCACCTTGGGTGGCGTCACTGACGGTCTCGTATAATAACTACCACGTTAACGCCCCGCCAGTACGGCAGAAGCGCAGCGCTAACAAGATTAAGTATGTTGTTTACCGTTACTAACTCCTAGGTAGAGTAAGGCTAAGGCTTGCCCCGACCTCAACGATCGTCTAGGAGACACAACCAACAAGGTGAGCTGGTTATATCGTTGATTGGCTGGTTAAGGTGGCCCGTGTTGCCGTACCTATGGCTTGAGATTAAGAACCCCTCGAGAATAAAAATTCGTTCCTAGTTTCTTTGGCTAGTAGGCGAGTAAGTGGTACGCGCGCCAGCTAGTAAAGGCCACACGTCAACTTGAGCCCTTCCGCAGAGAGCCACACGACTGGCAGTTAGAATTAAGGGTGTATTTGGTCAATCGCTAGGCCAGTGCCGCCTCTGATGCCGACTGCTATATGGCCAGCCACTACTGAGATACAAGTCAAAGACGTGTCGGACTGTTGAAAGAAATCGAGAATCAGAGTCGAGCCTGCCGCCAGATGGAAAGGACAAGGTAGCCTTGCGTGGTAGCCTCCGAGATGGGCCGAAGTAACCGTGGCAAGAAGCCAGGTTCATTATCCGCCTTGCAATCCGCAGTAGCACCTTCGACTCATCAGCCAAAAGCTTCTATTCTTCTTAATCAGAATCGCTTAAGTTCAATGGAGCCAGTACTAGTTGTTATAGTATTAGGGTGGTAGTGGTTGCAGTAGCACTTAATCCAAACAGCTTCCTGCCGCCGGCATTGACAAGCCACGTTGTGCTTAACGAACTCAACGCAATGGGAGAACCAACAATATGCAGCTTAAGCTGACCAAGCACTCAAGATGGGTCATTAGATAAGTTGATATTTCGATGAGCTCAACTGGAGGGTTGGCAGTCTCTTGGATTCAATCGGTGTCCACGGGCAGATGCAGGCTTCTAATCACAACTCAAACCTCTTTCTCTTTCTAGCACATTAACCCACTATTTTATCGTTTCTCTTCCTTTTTTGGATTGAGATCAGCTTCGTTTAGAAGCCAAACATCGAGACGACGCTTCGTTTAGCCGCTTGCCAAACGGGTCCGCCCTTGTAATAAATGCAAGCTGAGGGCTTCGACGGTGGCTGGCTGAGTTCTCCAAACGAAGACCAGTCGGTAGTTTGTGAGTTGAGTGGAGAGTGGATTCATTTAGACCATTCCTGTCTGCGTCCCGGCTTTGCTTCGGGAATTACTTGACAGGTGCCGTTTGGGGAGGAACACTGACCTCGCGAAATCCCTTGAAAGAAAATGAACACGTCGTCCTATGCATGCTCTTTCTTCTTTTCCTTTGCAACAATCCGAATGAATGAACCTTGATTTCCTTTGGGGTAGGGTCCGGCGGATCTTAAGCAGGCGTTATGCCCTTTTCTTGAGTATCCGAATGTTCGAAGACTTAAGCAGTAATATCGTAGAGCCGATTGTCGCTTGGATGTCACTGGAGGCCAAAAGCTACGGAGTGATCGGGTACACCAGAGTATATTTCTTTTCGGAGGATTGACGAGGTTCCGTATCGGTGTTTTATTTTTCGTTGTGTTTCGTACTTGTAACGGAACTAGCCTATCTATCCGCCGTTAAGTTTTGCTGGAAGACGTTAGGAACTGTCAGGCTGACTCTGTTCCTATTTGCTCTGATTACTCGTATCCGTTTGGTCTGTATGTTCGTTACATGTAGACAGGAGGCTGCGCGTATATATATATGGATGTAGTAACCATATCGGAGGCAACAAAGCCACCGCGTAGCTTGCTGTTGTTAGCGTTCCCAAATCCCGCCTATTTTGATTCTGCTATTTACGCTGCTACTATCACGGCGACGACATTTATGACAAAATTGATTCAATGTGGGATACGTTGTGCAACAGTTAGTAAATGATGACGAAGTGTTTATTGCTACTGTAGTCGGTATATGCCCGCTTAAGGGAAGATTTGTGCCCCAGCTAATTGTGTTGGCAGATTCGTGCGCTGCACGCTGTTAGTTTAATTTTGTTGTTCCAGATGCTTCTGTGCCAACCCCCTCGCCCCCCCCCCCCCCATGCAGGCTATGGCGGTTACCCAGCTTGACCCTTTGCTGCTAGCTGTAACTACTTGTTGTTATTGTCGACTTTGCTGTTGCTTGCGGGCTGCGCCTCCGAAACCGTATCGGAATCCGGCGTTGGTTTGTTATACCTGATATCCACTTGGTACGATACTAGGCGCTTTTCTTAACTATCGGACCTGTTTTGAGGATTTGCGTCAATGCCGTTGCTTGCTGGCCGGCTCGCTGATTGGCTCTATCTTGGGAAGTTAAATCTAGGGAACTATGCCTGTTGTTGTAGTGTTTTCATAGGTCTGCTCGAACGTTTGCCTGACAATCCCGTCTGTCTTCGTTAGCGATACTGTTTCTAATATCCACCTCGAATGGGTTGACAGTAGTTGCCGACTTGGTCGCGTTCACCACTGGGGGGCACGAGGGGGCCGCACGGCATAGGCTGCAGAGCTGAATGTTTAAACCGTGTTTTAGCCTGTACGGGCACACACGATAGGGCAAAAGAGACCCCACAGGAAGGAGAGGCAGACTCACCGGCCACGGGTTATCTCGCTTTCTGTTATCCCGTTTGTGGTAGTTCTTCTTCAGCACCGCCTACTCGTGTGAGTAAGTTCGATAGTGAACAAAAGGCAAACTCGTGGTTAGCTTCTGCAGATTTCGTTTTCAGATTAAAATACGAATATTCTTCTTCGGGTTCCGTCAAATTATCTGCCAAAGTATGTTCGTGGTATTTAAATGCTCGTCAGTGAACGCTGGAATGATGTAGTCTTCTAAACAACAGCTGATGCATATGATTGACCATTTCTGCATATAAGTTTATCCGTAAAAAGTTTATCCGGCGTACTTGTAGATATCCTTATATGCTCGATCTTTGTATAAATATATGTACTAGTCTCTGAGCTTCCTTTGGTGTCACGTCGATGTATTGTCTGAAAATATCAACGGCATTGCCAGCGAGAAGCGGACGCTAAATATGGCTCGTAAAATCGAATTCTGCAAGAATCTTGTAGTCGCATTCGTTAGAGCGCTTTGCGTCTTCTTAGACATTATTCAACGCTGTCACTGATTTTACTTTTTTTTGTTTTTGAGAAGAACGAACAAATTACCACAGCCTCTACCCGTTTTATCGTCAGCAGTCACGAAACTCGTCGGTGCTTCGGCGACGATGAAGACATTGTTGATAAAAATACGTTTGCTTGCCAGCAACAGCTACGAATATAGAAACCTGTATTAACTGGAATTAGTCGGTGTTTGGATTGTGTTATAACGGTGTTCAGTGACTTACTGAAATCCGGATTAGCTGGGACGCCCATTACCTGTCGTCCGAGGCGACTGCTATACGCTTGACCTAATATTTGCACATTGACGCTAGCCGAACGGGACAGTGATAATCTTCGCCAGTGTAACCGCGTGGTCAAAAGATATACTATCGATTGTTGTTGTTGCTGGGGGTGCTGCCGTCGAGGCCTCAGCTGCCGAGCCATCTGTAGTCTTTGTAGGTTTATAGTGTGGAAAGAACGCAGCTGCCGATAGAATACTTTTGCCTCGTTTTGGTCAACTCTTTAAAAGCATACTGTGGCTTTCAACTCGGTCCCATTAAACTGGTGACCTGTTAACTGTTTCTTTGTCGATGAGGTTTGATGGGACTGGTTAGCGGCGAAAAAGAAGTTTACTTAGGCTCCAGCTGTTGTTGACGGCATCTGTTTGTTGTTGCTGCTTCTGCTGCTGTTGCTTTCTTCTTCTTCTTCTTCTTCTTCTTCTACTAGGTGTCAATGGTGCACAGCAAGCGCAACAGAATAGCTGGAATGGTACTTTTAGCCAAATCGTCGGGGTTAGGTAAGGTTTAAGCGTTGACGGCGTTATCGTATTTCTATTGTCGCTTTTACCCGTAGGCAAGCTTTTGTTTGTGCTGTGGCTGTTCGTTTGTTGGATCCAGTTTCTGCCACCTATTTCTGTTGGCCTTCTCGTTGGACCTTCGTTCCTTGCCTCCTTGTCATTTACGTAGCCTATAAGGGAATTCGTGCGTTCTTTAAACTGCTAAGTATTTATGCACTCAGACATTGGCTCCGAAACAGCACCTGGTCGCTGCTCACAGTGAACTTTCCTACAAGTATTTTTGTTGTAAGTCGCTATTTCCTATCTGGCCATCTGTTTCTCATTTCCGTTCATTCCGCCGGAACTTTGTTGCACGCAAAGTTGATTAGGCCGGAAAAGTCACACACTAGACAACGTTTACTGCAGAGCCCTAAGCAACAGCTTCTGCTATGATCACCGTCTGATCACGTCACTACCAGTGTTCTTCTCTAATGTTTATCGTATACAGGTAGTATACACAACTTGAACTATTGACTATAGTAATAATGATAATCTTCAGAGGCGACCGTTCCACATCATCTTCTACTCATCTTGGCCGTCTGCGCTTCATTGTCGGCGCCTTGCCGGAACTTCACTGCAGGAGGAGGGGGCGGGGGGTCACTAACATACAACAGCAACTGTCATTGATCAATTGGTTAACTTTGGCGAAATACAATTTTTTTCAGTGCAGAAATACAATAGGCACCTCTTTTTCATATAATGGTAAGTTTATTAGCCTCTGATAGTAGCATTGGCTCGATCCGTTTTGGCTGGAACTAGACAATCATCAGTAACTGTTGAGTACAGATTTATTGTGGGTTATTGCTAGATAAGGATCGTTGTGCCATCGTTGTCCGTGTTATGCGTACGTTAGCAGCTCAAGAAGAACTAATCATACGAAACAACAGAAATAACACGTAACTTACTTGAACGTCCTATCGAATTGTCTAGGTAATACTGTTATTGCTGTTGTTCTTGTTTGTGCTGCGACTACCGGCTGCCAATAGAGAAATTTCCTTTTTTCGTTACCTTTGGCGGAGAGGTGAACGCTATGCACGTCTCTCATATACGGTTAATTTGCAAATATATACATGTGTGTACAATTGCGTATGAGCCGCATAGATATAAGGTGTACACTCGTAAAAAAAAGCGCGAAGGACTTGATCTAGCACGAACTGTTTCCGTCAAACCCAAGAAGCTTGACACCGGTATCGCTGGCCTTTCCGGTTTTCCAGCGAGTGTCTCTTAGCCTTTATCGTTTAGAGAAACTTGCTCTTCTTCCTATAACCAGACTCCGCAGAGAAGATACAGAAACTGCCGCGTTTCGTGAGTGGGCAGCCATAAATACTGCCAAAAAATGGCATAGAAAGAACAAACGTTCGTCCGCTTTCGTTCCTGCGCATTTGTCGCTGACCTGTTGGATCTCCTGGCGGATCCGACTGCGGATCGTGAACTCTGGTATCACAGTGAAATAGCACTGAGCCCGATCACTGAATTAGTAGCCTGCAGGGATTGCAAATGGTAGAGGTTGCCATTTGCCGGCAGTCTCAATAGCTTCCCCTTTTTCTGCCACTGCTACGCCAACTGCTTCGTGCCTCCGTATCCCGTAGTCCCGTTGTCTCTATCTGTGTGCCCTTACTGCGTTGTTAAGTGTAATATAGTTCTTGCTGCTTGCAACGTTTCCGCCTGCCGGGCTGATTGTTCAGGCAACGTCTACGTCACGCTTGTAGCTCATCATCAATGATGATGATGATACGACTGCCTGTGCTGCCGGTATTTGAGCTTCAGGGACTGGCTGGTTCCTTTGCTACTCACACCAGCGCCACCTGTACAGGCGTCTTGTTTTACGCAAGAGAAACTGGTTAAGAAAAGACTTGTGCGGGCTGTACCCGCCTCCACCGCAACAGCTTTCGAAGAACTCTGCATAACAGCTTCCTATGACATGTAATGCCGCCGTTCGAGCGAATCTTCGCGTCATTTAACCGAACTAACAAACTCTAGGTACGGCAGATCTCTGCCGTAGACTTCTGTTTCTGTTCTCATCTTAGCGCATTTCTACACATCAAGTGTCTACGCGTCGCTGCAGTGATTCAGCCAGATATATTGTTCTCTACCAACACGACAGAGGAGACAAAAGCAACAAAGTAAAAATATGGTAATCCCTCAAAACGTCCACGAAACTGTCGACTCTCTCCGTTAGGCAGATTCGTTATTGGCTATGTTGCTACTCGTTGGTGGCATCATTGCTCATATGCTCGTCTCGCGCCTGGCGCTTCACAATGCCCCAGGAGGATGGTTTCTAAAGTTACCACCTATGCGGCTATTATTTTTACCCTACTAGTCTTTTCACAACCACAGAACTTTTGATAATGCTTTTGTCGTTGCTAGACATTGAACTTGAGCTCTGTGTCGCGCACTTTTACCTTGTCCTTTCACTCGTCTGAATGTTTTCTTTTTTCCCTTACATAAATACAGAATCGTGCAGTTACAGTTTTAATTGTACAGCGCGATTTGACGGAACGAAGGAAATATCGCCCGTTACAAACTCATACGTGCATCGTGGCCTTACGCAGCCAACAAGCTGGTCCTCCTGACTGACTAAATTATTCCTGACACAGGATTTTTTCGACAGTAACCTCAAATCGATGAGCGTAGCAGGTCCGTTTCAACGTTGCTGATAGACGAGGACAAATGATTAATACAGCACAATATGCGTCCTTATTGCACGCTTGTTTTCCTTATGCGCTTTATATGTTTCTTTCGTTTTCTTTGCCATTTTTTCTCTTGTAGATATTTCTCGCCATAGCTATGGTTATTGCTGTCCATTGAGATAGATCCTGTATTACGCGTCCATTTCTTGCAACGTAAATGTTTATTGTTATCCTGATATTCGCACCGCACATGACACCCACTCCACTCAGTTGAAATAGCGTTTATAGTTTGTTTTTAGCAACATCAACATTGACGTGAAACTTACACGATAAACACACTGCAAACGTCCCCCTTGAGCTACTTTAAGTTTGATTTTCTTTTTCTTCGACGTTGACCTTCGTTCCTACGAAGTGACCAGCCGTAAAATTTCTATTTCCTTTTAGCCTGACTTCGCTATTGTTGTCGTTGTACCATACTTGCGCGGTTTTATGGTTACGGTTTCCACGTAATCCTATGGACTTTCAGTAGTGGCTGAAAATAGCTGATAAAGAACAATCAGCCGGACACGCTGATGGTTAACATTGTGTCCAAATGGAACTGGAGCCGAAGTCATTCTGCGAACTTATCTATTAACAACCAAGTGATTATTTGCTAGTTGTTAGGTTTGTTGAAAGTTTTCGACCTCTCTTCGCCATATGTGGCGGGGGGTGGCAATCGCACACTTTTCACCTTCCACGCCTCATATCTCGCGGCTCTTGCTGGTCTCAGTACGACATTGGCGAGTTTATACCGCGTTCCTGTGCTATCGGTTTCGACGCAAGCGCGAGCGTTGCTCTCCAGCAACACGTTACTTGCTTGTACACGTCTACTTCATGCTTTCCCGACTCATTCTGTACACCGCACGAATACTCTAAACATGTCAACAGTGACGATTAAGCACCGGTTGAATTGCTAACCATCATCATTTTGGCGCCACGACGTATCAGCTATGATGAGTTCACCGATGATGATGATGCACTCCCAGTTCCACTAGTCACTAGGACAACAAAATAATCGTTACGAAAAAAAAACAATTTGTGCGGCTACGGTGGCCTTTCGATTTAGTGGAAATCCACTGCACCAACCGGTGCGGCCTTTAACACCGTTAATGCTTCTCCTGCCACTTTTGCTTCTAACAAAGCCTTGGTAATGTTTCCACAACTTGATTAATCTACTGTTGCAAATACGTCTCACCAATACTTCACTTCTGTTTATACTTCTCTAGTATACTGGGCTGAACGCAGATCTCACGATCAGCCTTGCATTAATAGCAGCTCTCCACCGTTAGCAACGCACGTACAGATGCACGACAGGTTAATGCGACGTACGTCAACGGTTTCCTGGTCGGCAATCAACAATCGTTTCCGATGTCGCCCGTTTGCCCTACTACTTGCCTTCTTCGCCTGTTGTTAAATACCTTGCTTCTCGTTGTAGCAATAATAGTGCGATCCCGCCACAGCACCTGTGCTCACATTGCACGACGACTGGTCGCACGCAACTCAAACGGCAGCTACAGCCTCTGCAGAGCTCTCCGCTGGTCTCGCTCGGCTGAGAGCCACGGCGCTCACCTTCAGTCAGGAGTCACTCTCCCTTGCCGCCAAAGGACTAAGGACCCTTTCCGTGTTCTTTTCAGCCCTCGCCACAACCCATGTCACACAGGCCTATGGAGCACCGCTGTTTTCCTGCCTGCGTGTCTAGCTGCCAGCAAGCCAGCGTACACACTACCACCGCTATGCTACGAAGGCCACCGTCAAGACGCTATGAGTATCGCCATTGCTGTCATCGCAGACGCCGCCATCGCCAGCACCGAAACAAAGATTTCTTGCATCGACGTTGGGCACTGGAACACCGGGTCTAAAGCTCCAGCACCGTAGTTAGCGTTAGTCGACTAGTCTCCTGCTTTGGCAGTAGCAGCAGGGCGACCAGAGCAGAGACGGCCAGAATGTCGGGAGGCAGCAGCAGCAGCAGGTTGGGCCTGCGGATGGCCTAGCGCTTAGCG